CTCTTCCGAGCTCTGAACCACTGTAGCCTGCGGACAGCGAGGGTCAGCACGAGTGGTGCTGTACAGACGTGCTGACAGGCAGTGCAGCGGGGATGTACATGAGACTGGTGAGGACAGGTCAAGTATCAACACCAGGAGACTTGATGCCAGTTCAGTGCCTACCAACAGCCACAGTACTGAGCAGGGGCTCTCTTTAGAGACTGTGAGGCAACGGTTTCACTCCTTCCTGGGAGTCACTCCAGGTGACATCCAGCTTCTCTGCACCTTTCCCTTCCCTTTCCCCTTCAGCTTTCCCCAGGGCATGGGAGCAATTCTTCGAGGGTAAGACAAGAGAAAACGTGCCTTCATGAAGCTCCATCATTTGCTCCATGGAAACCACTCTCGGTCTGCACACAGGAAAACATGGCAGAGTTGTGGCAGTTCATTCCCTTTCAGTTCCCGACATACCGCTTTGATGACGTGAATGAAGTCTGCTCTCGTGATCTTCCTCCTGTCCATACCAGCCTTCTTGAACACGTCCACCAGTGTCAGCTTCTGCTTGCGCAGGAGGTTATGCAGCGTGACAAGAGCTGGGGGGTACGGTGCACGAATAAGGGGAGGGTGACCTCCCTGCCAGGGCTGGCAGCTCGCTGGTGGCGAGCACTGAAAAAGAGTGGAGAATACCCTGTTGTAGAAGTCACTTTCTAGCTCAAATGGAATCCAATACATAGCAAGGCTTGCTAAAGCCTTAGGCCGCAAGCTGTGAACTTTCAGCTAGATATGCTCACTGTATACTGAACTTTTACTTAGCTACATGAAGGAAGGCTCCGAAACCGGTGCAAACCAGAAACATAAGGTAGCCACAACTGTCAGCAGAAGCCACATCCATTAAGATAAGAAAAGGAATGTCCCACCTGGAGACAGAGAAAGGATCATGTCCCGCCTGGAGACAGAGAAAGGATCCCATGAGGAACAAGAAGACCCCAGACCCAAATATTGCTATTAGATCAAACTGTCGTGTGAGGGGAGGGGAACTTAAATTGTAAGGGTATAATTGCCCAGGGATTTCTTTGTTTGCGGTCCCTCCCCAGAGGCACCCAGCTCGAGCTGTACCACTCAATAAATTAATCTGGTGTACACCGTGTCGGAGACCCTGCTTCAGGGAAACCTAGGGTCGAGCCTGAGGGGAGAGAAAGCACCGGAGGGTGAGCGTGTGTGAGCGAGGAGTCGGAAAGGGGCACCCACCGGCTCAGTGGAGCTGCCCGCTGAGAAGGGACGCCGGTCCGAGCAGTGAAAAGTCTCTGGCCGTGTGTGTGTGACTCCCTGGGGGGGTGTGAATGCTTGGGCGGTTGCTGCTCCTTTAACAACCCTGAGACCACCGCTACCCAGAATCTCCGTGCCTGCAGGTGCTGAGGCTGCGGCAGGGCCCCAGGAGACGCAGCGCAACGATCCCAAGGACAGCACAGCTCCTCAGACACTTACGCCCCGGCTGCAGGTCATGGCTGACTTGCTTTCAGCCCTCCTCTCTGCTCTGCACGCCTTTATTCTTTCCCAGACTCTTTCTTCCCGACTGCTGAGGGAAGGCTTCCCCATCAGCCATTTTTCTACATCCACGACGCCCTCCAGCTGAGATCGGAGCTGCTTCCTCTCCTCCATCCAAGCCTCCAGCTTCTGCGGGTCACTTTCTGCATCGGAGGTGACTTCTGGAGACCCGGGGCTGCCCCCTCCCTCCGGGGGCCGCTGCAGGCCAGGCGGGGGGCAGCAGTCTGCGGCCCAGGTCGGCTTGGAAAAGGGAGCAGCTGCTCTTGCCATAGGTGGGACAAAAACAACGCGCCGCCTGGGCTCGGGGGGGCGAAGCCTGCTCGCTTCCGACTGAGAGCGCAGCGTGGGGCGTCTGTGCTTTGGGCGACGCGGTTTGAAGCAAAGCTCCGAGGCCGCCTCCAGCTCGACATCGGTCGCTGCGGGTGACAACAGCCAGGCAGCAGCGGTGCCCGCTCTCCTCCGGCCAGGCCCGGGCCCGGGGGGCCGGCAATGGCGGGCGGCGCTGAGGCAGAGCGCGGCGGGGAAGGGGCGGGGCCGCGCAG